AAACTGATTATGAATGACTCAATAAAAGCACTTAAGTTGCTTGGCATTGAAGAAAGGTGAAGGGAGATTCTTTAGAACTTCAGAGCTCAAAGAAACACGGTCCGACGTCCAGCCGGCACGTCGTAGTAAATATCTCCAGCTTTAAGGGTACTATCTCGAGCAGCAAATGCAAGAATGTCCGCACATGAGACGGTTTCAGGACATATAGCCTCAATTAGAGCTTTTGCCTCGTTAATTAACTCGAACCCTCGAAGACTTGGGTTATTTGCCGAATTGTCTTTCTCCCCAGCAGGTTTTCCAGGCATCGAATCCAGCAGTAACGAACTGTGGGCTGTGATGCCATATTCAGTCCACTTAAAGGCAATGATGATTGGCTTTGGCCCATTACTGTCTAACCTGCCCAACTGAAGTAAGCCCAGTGAAACTAGGCCTGGAACCCGGTCCAAACTAAAGTAAAAGTCATCTGCTCTGAGCCGTTGGATTGGATCTACCTAATCTCGAGGTTGAGATATTTGAAGGATTCTAAACGTTTCTGGAATTCATTCTATTCACTCTCTTTTCTCTCGTTTTCTTCTGGAGACTTCTGAGCGTTCTCTGGTTCGTCTTCTGTGTGAGGATTTCTCTTGAATCAGTTTCTTGAGTTGTTTCTTAGTGAAATCCATGGGTTTGTAAGTCCTTTTAGAGTAGTAGTCTTTAATCCCTCTTTTTCATTGTAGTGGCTTTGTGTTTACAGTTTGACTGTGGTGGTTTCTGGTGGATCTGGGCTTACGGTGTTGAAGGGGTTTTAGATTTGATGTTCTGAGCCTATACATCTGTGATACTTTGATGTTCAGTGGTGATCTTCATAGTTTCATGTGTTAGGGTGATTTCGAATGTAATAGGGATTTGAGATCTGTTTCGATATGTAATCTTTCGTCTGTAATTTGTATAACACGAACCATCACAACCCTGAAATAAATTAAACGCAATATTAACAACGTACGAATGAATTATGAGTAATTAAAGATTTCAACAAATACGTACCCTGACAAAGCAGTCGTGGAAATGCATCCTAACGAGGCCAGCAGCTATTCCTGGATTGAGGGACACGGCTTTGTTCACTGCATTTCTTACAATCTTCTCGGCGAGTGGACATGATTTCGAGTAAAATCCTACTTTGAGTGGTGCTACTTTTGCCGGCTTTGCATGTTTAGTTTTAGCCAAAGCAGATGTAGAAAGAGAGAAGACAACCAGGCAAAAGAGCAGCGCAACTGCTACAATCTTTGAAATTTGGAAATTCATCATCTTCTTCAGTTTTCTCAAAGGAATTCGAAACTGCTGGAGTACTGAATAAGATTGAGATTGTCAGATTGATGTATTGCATTGCTGAAGAAACAAGAGAATTTATAAGTGTTGGAAATTACAAAAAATTGCACACTGGCAGGATTAATTTAATTATAGTTAAACGCGTAAAAGTCGTGCCAACTGCAACTGCAACTGCAATGTTTGAAGCTATCTTGAGCCTATCTCAGAATTTAGAACCATTCATTGCATGCTTACATCTTTCCCTCTAAATTCCAATTCCCCAGTTTTGCATTTTAAAAATCTTTTGATACCTTCTTATAATGGAAGTTGTTTATATGCTTTGGTGGCTTAATTTGGTTTGTTTGACTTCATCAAATGTACTCAACTTGGAAGTTATTTTACATGCCTAATTTGGATTTAATAATTCGAACAACCACTTGAGATCATTTCACGCGGTTATGTGGCACTGGAGCCTGACTCAGATCGAAGTGCCAATCTGTAAAATCATCGACTTTTAAACCATTCAACTCATTAACTTCTATTATTTTTTTTGCAGATAAACCCCCGTAGTTTAATTGTGCTGTCATCTTCATATGTAGCAGCAGCATATATCTCTTTGCCAATCTGTAAAATCATCAACTTTTAAACCATTCAACTCATTAACTTCTATTATTTTTTTTGCAGATAAACCCCCGTAGTTTAATTGTGCTGTCATCTTAATATGTAGCAGCAGCATATATCTCTTTTAGTCTCTTCTCGTTTGTATTGAGCAAGTTCATTTGTAGTTTTCAGAAAAATTCTTGATGTCAAGAAAATTCTTGTTTTTTTTCCAGAAAAAATCTTGATGTCAAGTAGCTATAATGCCATATGATAGAGACGACTGTTCTAGATGAACAAGACTGCCAACAAATTTAGAGATGTGGTTCTAAATAAAGTTCGGAAAAAAATTTGCATTCGACAATTCAGTGTTTCGAAAAATTGTTAATTATTCGGTTGTCGATTCGAGAGTGTTTTGAAATTGATAGTTTGAAAGCATAACGAGAAAAATACTTTTGATTTAGTAATTGTATGTAATAAGTAATTATGTGATTAAATATCATATATAAATCATATGGAATAAATACTATTGTCATCTTACGTTCAATTCAAAAATAATCTTTAAATATACAAATTGACGTGCAGAAGAATTTCTCTAAATTGAAAAACATAATTAATGCATATTTAGCTTCTCATAAAAGCTGATTTAGAGGAATTTTTTTTAAATATGTGTAATCAAAAGTACTTTTACTATCCAAGAAGTATTTTTCGGCATAAAAGATTCTCCCAAACACACCTTAATATTGTACTTTCATATAATGAAAATAGAAACTTTTTGAGATGAACTTTATTTTGCAAGGCACACTAAGGACTTTTACAATTTAACCAAACACGTGTAATCAAAAGCACTTTTACTATCCAAGAAGTATTTTTGGGCATAAAAGATTCTCCCAAACACACCTTAATGAAATATATTACTCTTACTTTAAAATTTCCGAACTTATAAAAGTACTTCATGAAATTTAATTTTTTTTTCCAAGAGATAGAATTTAGTAAAACAGATGAAACATAAAAATGCGACGAAAAAAATGATAGGATATAGGCACGACTAGGGGTGACCAAAAGTCCCGAACTGAATCGAGCGGTTCTTCATAAGTTAAATACCCGAACGGGTACCCGAATCGAGAATCGATGAGTTTGGGTCGGGTGTCGGGTCTAGACCAAGAACCGAAGAATCGATAAGAATCGAAACTAAATAATTTTTTTTATTTTTTATATTGAATTCATTAAATTATTTTATTTTTTAAAAAACAAATTAGCAAATTAATTAAATAAATCAAATTATTTCATAATATTAATTTGTAAAAATTACGAATGAAATGTCTTAATTGTATTTATATAGTGTTATTGTAAATATTAAAAAAATTAATTATAATACGGAACGGAACGGAACGGAAACGAACCGAACCCGAACGGTTCCATAATTATATTTGGACCCGACGATTCCATTTATTAAATACTCGAAAGTTTTGGGTCGGTTCGATTCTTTTCAGAATCGAACCGAACAGACCCACGAACAGTCCTGATCATGACAAAAGATTAATTTTTTTTAGTGCAATCAGAAGGGGCGTAACAAAAAGCAATTTATTGTCTCTATGATTATCCTTATATTGTTTGATTTTCGAGAGTGATTATGTGAAAAATAAAAATAAATTGATGGAAAAACAATTTTTAAAATTAAACAATTAATTTTTTAATTTTAATCCAATTTTAATCTCCACCAAACAAACTCTAAAAATTACTTCTCAAATTTGTAGACAGTGCACTCTGCCACTCTCCGAAAATCTCATATAAATATTCATATATCTCCATATATCGCAAAAGCACTAAGCACCTCTTCTCTTTCTCTCTCCTTACCGCTTGGCTTTAACGCACGCAGAGTCTTTTCGGACTCCGCCTTCGCTTTGATTCATCTCGGTCTTGTTTATGAGGTAAAAGCATTTACAATTCGTTTATTCTTCCTTCTGACCTTTTCGCTTGATTAAAAAAATGTTCTTTATTATGGTCTTGGTTTTATATTCAGATCTGTTTTCATACCTTGCTTTTCCGATGGAAGTTAGGTTATTAGTTTTTCCTCTTTCAAGATTTGTAATTTTTTGTTCATTAATTTATTCCGTTTTAGTTGATTTTATAGAGATGGAAATTTTTTGATTTCATCTCCGAAATTTTTAATTTAATTTTTTAATTTTTTCTTGTTGTAGAGATGTAATAGCTAGAAAGGGTTCGTTTTTTCTATTTTATTTTTGAATTTTTACTCATGGTTTTTCAAAAAAGAGAGATCTAAATGAAAATTGTCTTTACTTTAAAATTCATTATTCAAGCGGTGGTTGAAATGTTCCTTATATATTTGCTTTTATTTTTGGTTCTCGTGCAGCTCGAAGGAGAGACCCACTCTCGGGTAAGATAAATTTTTTTTTTTTAATTTTAAAAAAGTACAATTTTTGTTTAAGGAATTATGTGCAAGTGCTGATGATTAATTTCTATTATTTTCTATACAACAGGTAACAACACTAAGTTGATCCGTTTGAATCAACTATGTCTGTAAACAAGTTGTTAATTCCTTAATCCGTTAGAATCTCTGTTTGAATCAACTATCTGTAAACAAGTTGTATCAGATTAAATATTTTGCAATGATCTTTCAAACAAGAAGTACACTCAGTCACTTATTTAGTCATTCTACACAAAACAGGCCCTTACCATATAGTCCAGTTATTCCATTAATTTATCTTCAATTGGTCGTTTGTTCATGCTATAATGTCTCGAAACTTAGTACCATAAAACATGGTCTAGAGACAGCTCAGCTTCTTTTTTTAATTTTTAATTTGATAGTTATTTTTTGATCAGTCAAAATTCTTAAGAGGTTTCTGCATCTCGTCCATCTCATTCTAATCCTATACATTATACTCTCTTCAAGTTATCATTCATTGTTTGGAGTTCAACTTAATTACCTAGTGCTTGTTTGGTAGGGATTTTTGGGGGAAGAATTGATTTTTGAATAATGATATGATGGGAAATGTGTGGTTGAAGAAGAAAAAAAAATTATTGATGTGATAGAAAATATTATTTTATTGAAGAATGTGTGGTTGAAAGTGAGAATTAATTTACTGTATAATTTGAGTATCAAAAACAAACAGGTGGTTGAAAATGAGAATTAATTTACTGTATAATTTGAGAATAAAAAACAAACAGGCCCTTAATATCTATTATTTTTCTCGTGATCAGATAAAAAAAGAATGTGTTTTGAATTCACTTGAAGCCTCTTTGTGTTATTTTTTTTGGGGTTGTCATGTTGTCTTATTCGTAAACATACAAAAGCTATTATGTTTAACAATAGCACGGTTGCTCTATTTGTTTCTGAATGATTTTACTGTCTCAGATTCCGTCATTCATTTTGATTTTTTCCTGCTAACAAATCATATCTAATACAGTGGTACGCGGATTAAGACCCGCAAACGGAATATTGCAGCGCCGCTGGACCCTGCAGCATTTTCTGATGCAGTGGTCCAGATTTATCTGGATAATGCTGGTGATCTGGTAATCCTTTGTGTTTATAAATTGTGGGATGTTTATTCTCCCTTGCCACTTTCATTTCTTTGCATGCATGCATAGGCTTGAGGGCAGGTGTAGAATGCATGGAGGCAACTGATGTTTGATGTTGTCCAGGAACTTATTGTTAAAAGCATTGAATCCTCAGATCTAAATTTCTCAAGATACGGTGATACCTTTTTTGAGGCAAGTGGCTGCTGTTTTTGTTCCCTCATAATTTTGCAATAGTATTATCCGGAAACATGTTTGTGCTTAGACCTTTCCTTCTGACAACAAAGAAACTTGTCTTTTTTATTGTGTGTATGTAAATGTATTCTCCATCGCCAAAAAAATAGGGCTGAATGGTGTTTGTTCACCAAAGAAGTGAATAATGTCATTAACTCTAGTCAGTATATGGTTATATGTATCAACAAAATAATGGGAAAATTGCACCTAATGTCTTCATTCTATAATTAAGTGAGCACTTGGACATCCATTCCACTTTTTCTTGGCATTCAAATCTCTAATTTCAAGTTTTGAAGTACTTGGGAGTTGGGTCCCCAACCAACGGATTCCTTCAATTACAACTGAGGATGTCTCACAGGTGAAATGCTGTTTCAAGGGCATAATGAGCAATTCTGAAAAGATAAAAGAAAAATTATCTTATCCACCTGCTGACCCGATAACCCATCTCTCCCTGTTCACTCCCCTACATTCGGGCAGTCAGCAAGATCCCCTGCTATTTTAGCTGCGTTGAAGACTCCCCACTTTCACTCCCCGCCTTCCCTCACTACTACTCCCACCCCTTCTCCTCCCTATCCCTTCCTGCCTTCCCCTCCACTGCAAGGGCATCAGGAAAGGACACGGGAGGGGTGAAA